CATGCCGCCGCTGCCGCCGACGCCCCCACCAGTGGACGCCGTCGCCGGCCACACCCCACCAGATCCGGGCGGATCTGGAGGTCTCCTCCGTCGCCGCCCCACCTCCGACCACCGTCGCCACACCTCCAGTCATCGCCGCCATCACGACCGCTCGGCCCCGCCTCCACCGACTGCCTCCCCGCCAGATCCGGCCGGGAGGCACGGATCTGGGCGATTTCCGCCGCCCCGGGTAGTCCCCCTCTACCCGAGCTTGGCACGAAGTCGAAGCCCCGCCGCCGCCGTCCTTGCGCCGCGCGGCTTTGCCGGCGGCCGCTCGGGCGGTGGCGAGGCGGAGGAGGGAGGAGGGGTGGAACGCGCGCCGGCAGGGGCGTCGCCTCCCGTGTCGCCCAAGGGGAGGGGCGACGCGAGAGTTCTCAAATTATGGATATGTAACCATTTAGTGACACAGTAGTAGTTTGTTTGACTTGCTGCTTGTATGGATGCACGGTGAATTTAATCGGATGACATACATTTGCATGTACATCATGTTCCAGTCCCCGTGTGGCATGCATCCCCCACAATTCCTTTTTTTTAAGAGCGTGCGGGGAGGGGGGGGGGCGTATATTGGTAAGTGAAGATCGTCAGATGGTGTCGCCGATTAGGAAATTTCTATACATACAACTTAAAATACGTGAATATTAGAGAAGGATCTAATATCAAATAATTAGAATGGATGAGGCTTCGAACCCAGATCGTCTAGCCCACCATCTCATGGCACTAGCCGGAAGACCCCTAGGCGTTTCTCTTTATACATACGACTTGATATCCTACGATCAGATACGACTATTTGATCAAGGGCTTATCATGAATGTGAATCTTTGTATCGTTGATTGATGTATAGTTGTATTATTATTACTCTATTGTAGGACGATATAATTGAGAGTTGTATGTATAGTGCGACTTGTTTTTTTAATAGGAATGAAGTATATGTGCACATTAATTAACTCTAAGACAGCCTAAAATAAATGACAAGGAATACAATTATGTGGCTTGGACATATAATAATAGAGGGAAAATTCCTCTTTTGCATTGAGGTTTCACTTCATCTTTTCCGTATCACTGGGTTTTGCTCCATGCATATAGACCTAGTTTTTGTTTCTATTTCATAATTCCCCATTTTGCTATCATATTGTTTGTTTTTTTCCTCAAAATGACTATGTTTCCACTTGGTTATAATTATGTGAGAAATCTCACCTAAATCAAAACTCAACTAAAAAACGATTTGGCTATGAAAAAGAAATAAATAATTGAATATCTGCCAAACAGTTAGCAAGCATATATGAGTAGTATACTTTTGAACAAATTTGAATTCCAATACTTCCTCTCCATGCTTCCTTCAATTTTGGTTGAAATTTGTATATTTCAATTTTTTGGTTATTTGGAAAATTTTGGACCCTTAAATACTTTTCATAACTGAATTTTTTTTCTAGCAGAGATAGATAGGCTTGCAATTTTGTTATTAGAAAAGTTAGTGGTCAGCTTGTGACAGTACTCTAATTAGAAAAGTTAATACGTTTTACTTCGAATAATTATCCAAAATCATTCAGTACAAAAGAACATACGAGGATTTCTAGTCATGGCAAAGGTCATGCTAAAACTCAACTTTACGCAAAAGAATTTTCTCAGTAATTAATGGAAGTTTAATTTTTGGGCCTAGCATTGTTAGAGTTAGCGGCTAGGGCAAAGCATTCTTTAGGAGACACAAATTAAAGTCCAGTTCTATCAGGCGGCTGCACATCTAACCTTTGAAAGCAGTTTGTTTTCATTTTGGTTGAAATTGGAACGATATGACGGAAAAGTTAGAAGTTTATATGTGTATATGAAAGTTTTGATGTGATAAAAAAGTTAGAGTTTGAAGAAAAAGTTTGGAACTAAACACGGTGTAAGTAGCTACAAAGTACAATCGTACACGCCCTGTGCCGTGGCCAAACCAAAAATTGGTCCGGCGCGCCATTTCTAAACGCAGGGAAAAAAATATAACCTCTCGCTCTTGCGCATAAATTAATTAAATTGTTCTGTGTAAAGATCCTATAACGATCGATATGTTGTTGTGTATAGATTGACATCGACGGGCATAAACCTTTAAAAGCCGTTTGCAGCACATCTGGAATGATGGAAAGGAGGGGCTAATAACAGTGAAAGGAATTATTCCCATATGACTTTGAGGTTGTCTTGGAATGCAATTTTGTCGATGATCATGAGAGATACATCTGAAATCGTACAGCCAGAATTGTACCAGGTGTTGATGATCATAAGTGTACACGCGGCGAGTACGACCTACTTCCTCCATTTTATATTATAAGACTTTCTAGCATTGCCACATATGTGTCTAGATTCATTAATATCTATATGAATATGTGCAATGCTAGAAAGTCTTATAATATGAAACGGATGGAGTATATAGAGTAGCTAGCTTTTGGCATGTGCTATTATTGGTGATGTGGCATGTACTTTCTCATTCTTCTATGATCGAATTTGACATATTCTAATTAACCACGATTTGTTTGTGCTAGGATGTGTCACATCCGGTACTAAGGTTATTTTTTTATGGGACAGATGGAGTACGAATTAATGAATGATACTATATGTATACATCTATCGATAATGATATGGTATTCCCTCTGTTTCAAAATATAAGTATTTTTAGAATAGTGCCAAGACAAACATTTTTAACTTTGACTATTAATAAAAAAAATCAATCATGTAAAAATGATGTTACTAAATTCATCACTAAACAAACTATCTTAATATGCAACTCTTTTTATTTAAAACATCTTACTTGGTTAAAGCAGCATCTTAAAGACTATATTAAAGTTTAAAAATGTTTATAATTTGAGACGGATGGATCAATTAATATATATCCTGATTCACAAGACAAAATTAAAGGCAAAGAAGAAAGAGTTAATTGGTATTGATATAGTTCGATGCCACCAGCCCCTTTCGTGCGCTACAAACGAACTTGAATATAGCATAATTGTGTCTTCATATTGTATATATATATACCATTAGGATGTTATATACACGCACCCACTAACCACTATATAGCGTATGGTAGTAGTACAACGCTTCAATAGGTAATCATGGAGTAATACTAGGTTGAACATATAATGGCCAGTTGGCCACTGGTCACCACTTATTGGATAATTGGCACGTGGTAAATACGTCTAGCAAGCTGGTTTTCACTATTCTTAAATTTACTGGCAAATTTTAATATGCAAGCCCGTCTAGCTCAGTCGGTAGAGCGCAAGGCTCTTAACCTTGTGGTCGTGGGTTCGAGCCCCACGGTGGGCGCTATTATTTTGTTTGTAGGGCTTCAAGATTTTTAGCCCAGGAGCATTTGCTATGGATCTAGCCCAATCGGCCCATGAGCCTGATGCTATTTGCTAGGAAATAAGTTTACTTTCCCTCCCTCATATCTTGCTCCATATTGAATCACTTCCTTTAACAACAAAACCGAGTATAATGCCTCACCCATCTAACCACTACAAATTGATTCCTTTGGTGGTTTGAAAAGCGGTTTTTGCTGATGTAGCAGGTGGAACCTACATGTCTCTGAATCATTAAATCCTCTCTCTATCATCTCTTTTATCTTTTCCCAACGAGAAGGACCGTCGGTTAGCCTAGACTGATGTAGTGTTGGCGCTTCGAGATGAAGATGATGGCAGTGATCGGCAGTCATCAATCAGGGCGGTAGTGTCGGACGATGGTCACCGAGGAGGAGAAAAGGGAGAGGAGGAAGCGAGAGTCTTCGCGTCGACATCATCGCTGTCGTCGGCTTGTCGCTTGTTGCTTCGACCGCTACTGCAACATCCTCCTCTTCCTCACTACCACCACAGCCGCCTGCTGCTTTCGCTTCGACGCCGCCGCCGCCGCTACCATCTCGGCCGCCTCCTCTCCCTCACCGCCACAGCTACCGCCTACTACTTTGACCGCCACCGCCATCGTCGCTTGCCGCCGCCGCAACCTCCTATCCTGCCCCGCTGCAACAGCCACCTTCTACTTCCGCTTCGACACCGCTACCGCAGCCTCCTCTCTCTCTCGCCACCTACTGCGATTGCTGCTTCTACGATGACGTCACCGTCGTTGCTGCAGCCCACTCTCCCTCCCTCGTCGTGGCTGCCATCCTCGGAACTGGCTCACTACCACAGTAGCCCTCACAGGCTCTCTTGGTGCTGGAAAAAAAGAGGGAGAGGAGGAAGATTAAAGAAAGGAAAAGGAGAAGGGGAGGTGAAGAAAAGGATATATGAGGTGGAAATCGCTGATATGTGGGTCCCACATGCCAACTCAGCGAGCCAACCACGGTCCAGCAGCCACGTTAGTAAAAACCACTTGCCAAACCACTGAAGGAGGTAATTTACACCGGGTTTTGAAGATAATGGATGTGTTTTACCTGCTTTTTGTGGTTGATGGTGGTAAAATAGACTTAGGCTGTGTTCGCTGGAGCTTAATCCCAATCAGAACAGTGCGCACGGAAAACGGAACGGTCTATTAGCGCGTGATTAATTAAGTATTAGCTAATTTTTTTCAATAATGGATTAATATGATTTTTTTAAGCAACTTTCGTATAGAAACTTTTTGCAAAAAAACGTACCGTTTAGCAGTTTGAAAAGCGTGCGTGTAAAAAACGATAGAGATGAGTTGGGAAACCTGTAAGAACACAGACTTAATCCATTTGTTAGTGGGCAGGGCAGAGGGGACTCCTTGGAAAAAAAAAGATACCTAGGTGAGCCCAATAAAAACTACTTACGCCGAGTTTAGTTCCAAACTTCTAACTTTTCCATCACATCAAAACTTTTCTACACATAAACTTTCAATTTTTCCATCACATCGTTCCAATTTCAACCAAACTTTTAATTTTAGCGTGAACTAAACACACCCTTAGTAGCAAGAATCAGATTGATAAAAAAAAAAAGTTGGGCCGGAGGCTACCGGTTAAACCTTAAAAAACCGGACCGTTTTCTGAGACCGGTGAAGCCCTGGCGGTCGGGCTCGCTCGCTCACTCGTCTCCCTCCCCCACCCAGCCCCATCTCATCTGCTTCCGGCGACACTCAGACTCCCTCCACCGCAGCCGGCGAGGCGACCCCCACCCCACCCTCGCCGGGATTCACCGCCCGCTCCGCCACTCCGCAACCAAGCAATCAAGTCGCTCTCGCCTGGGGACGAATTGGGGTGGGGGATTTGGGGATGGAGGAGCAGTTCATCCTCCGGGTTCCCCCCTCCGTCGCGGAGCGGATCGAGCGCCTCATGAACGAATCCGCCGCCGCCTCCTCCTCTTCCAACCCCGAAGACGCGTCCCTCGACCTCTCCTTCTCAGGTGCTCCCCGCCGCCCCTCCTCTCTTTACCCTCCATTTTTATTTTATTTACCTTTTCCGTCTGCCCCTTATGGTGTTCGGCGAAATGCGCCTGGCGTTTCTTTCGCGCGAGGTGTAGGTGGAGAGTCGCCGATCTGTGCCTGTTGGCACTGTATTAAGGAAGAATTTGCTTTCCAGCTTATGTAGATACATAGATAACCATACGCATAGGGCAATCCTATATACGCTCTGTGCCTGTTCGCACTGTTTTCTATATGGCAATCGGTAGATAACCATAACCATAGGCGTAGGATGTGAGCAGCAGATGTCATATTTAAAAAATACATGATTTAGGGAATGCAAATGATAGCCACAATTTAGGATGTTTGGAGACCTTATATCATTCTGTTAACATCTCCCTTTTCCAAAAATTTATATAGCCAGGGTTGTATTCTCAGTTATGATTAACCTTCCACTTAGTCCAACACTCCAACTGCCTAATAATGCCCTAATCATTTGTGGAAACATAAAAAATGACTTAAGTAATTATAATTTCAAGTGTTTAGGCCTTCTCATGGTGGCATGGAATGTTCTTGCTTGACAACTTATACTCTATAGATGCTGAAACTATGGTTTGTGCTAATATGTTCTAAAGTATTCTATTTGTGCGTATCTACACATATGTACTTTATTCACTCACTTCTAGTTGTGGGTTGAAGACAATGTTATCTTTATGTTTGACTGACACAACTTAAATTATAATACCCTGGTATTGTTATCAGGATGTGAATTTTTTATCTAATATTTGTTGAACCTGTGGATTGATGGTATTTTTCATGCTATAGAGGATGGAAGAAATGGCACATTTATGATTGGGAATGAAAGCTTTCCTGCATCACTCTTGGATCTCCCAACTGTTGTGGAGTCATACAAGACATATGATGATTCAGTGCTAATTAAAACAGCTGATATTGGTCAGGTAAAGCATAGGTTTTGTGTATAAGATCTGTTTTATTAACTGTAGGCTTTTAAGACTCTCCTGTTGAGATTATAACAGATGATTATGGTAAGAGAAGAAGAAGATCCTGCTCCAGAAGGAGTTGAATACAAGCATGGTCTTACTCCTCCAATGAGGGACGCACGCAGGCGGCGTTTCCGCAGGGAGCCTGATTTGAATGTATTCTGTGCCTTCCCTTTAGATCTGTTGTTTTTCATGTTCACGGAAACACTTTCTCAATCATAACGGTGATTGCTCTTCACTCTTTTATGTAGGCCGAACTTGTTCACCGAGTTGAGAAGGATCTCATTAGTATTATGCATGGGGTATCTATCAGTATCCTTTTGGTTTTTGTTGCTTGCTTATGTTCCACTCACATGTTGCCTTAATTACAATTGACTCAACATCATTTTCATCATAGTTTGTTCCGTTGAAATAATCATACATGCAACTAGTTACTCCCTCCATTTCAAACTATAAGTCGTTTTGACTTTGCTCAAAGTCAAACTGCTTTAAGTTTGACTAAGTTTATAGAAAAAAAAGTAATATTTTTAACCCAAAACAAATATATTCAATTATAAATTTAATGAAACTAATTTGATGTTATAAATATTACTACATATATATAAAAGTAATATTTTTGACCCAAAACAAATATATTCAATTATATATTTAATGAAACTAATTTAGTGTTATAAATATTACTATATATATCCACAAACTTAGTCAAACTTAAAGCAATTTGACTTTGAGCAAAGTCAAAACAACTTAATATAAAAATGGAGGGAGTATGTAACTGCATTTGGTTCACTACTTCACTGGTTGATCCATTCTATGCCATGTTTATATATAAAAAGTTTTTTTCACTATTTGTGCCCTATCGGCATATATGCAAAATGCCTTGACTCGGTTGATAGACCAGAATGCCAGTGCAATTCTAAGGGCAGGAGAAGGTGGCGATCGTAAGAAAGCGGGACCAGCTCCAGCAACCAAACCTAATGTCAAACAACCTGCTGCAAATGGCGAAGAAGCTGAGGCAGAGAGGAGTGACTCTGATGAGTCCGTTGACCCGTAGAATTCAAGTGGACAGGAATGATAAATAATCCTGCTCCTATGCCCGAGCACACCCAGTTGACTTAGCAGTTCATATCACAGGGAAGGTTACTATGTACGGACTTGCTGTCACTGTTACGGCATGTTAATATTTGTGTATGTAAAATTTGATGCGACGCTGGACCCTTGGGATGAGAAGATATGGCTGCTCCTGGATGAAAATACACTGATGCTTCACTGAGAATCTAGCAATCAGTCGTTCTAGTCTGATTTTTACTCGTATTTGTGTGCCTATAGACAAGTGTATGTCCTGGATCGATGTTTACCAGGTTTTGGGTACCCAAGTCAAATTAGTATTGAAGATTGCTAAATCTAAAATGGCATGGTTTTGTATGATTTGCAGTTGGGCATCTCCATTGTACCGGGCATGCGAATCTATTTTTGATCTTTTCCATTGTATGGTATGATATATCATATATATATATATATATATATATATATATATATATATATATATATATATAAGTTTATGGGCCTCGATATTCGATTAAGTTCTAGGCCAGCTGGTGTGACGCACACGTACTGAGCCCACTGTTTGGTAGGAGCGGTCCGAGCGGCCCACACCCACCCCATCAACCAATCTTTTGTAAGCCTACAACTGGTTGGGGTCGACGCCTGATCATCGGTGCTCATCAATATTGTTGGATAATAAGCTCATTGTAGCACTGATTGTGACGTAGATATGAAGGTGATTTAGACTTGGATTTCCCGTTAGTTAAATGTAGTTTAGCAAATCTGTAAATATTATGACCTAGAGAGAGTATGTATTTTTTCCGGTATATTCTTTAAGTTACATATTTCGTCATCAAAGGCTCAGATGTAATATCGATGGTCGTATCAGGCTATTGTACGTACCTGCTCTAACAACCATCGATATTAACAGTGTAGTTTATTTTGTATATGACTATTATATAAATTAGCTATTAAATTAACTTATAGATAGTTTGTAGCTAGTAGTTGATTATATATATTAAACTTGTTCTCATACATGGGCATTTTTGTACAGGATCGAAGGGAATCTCAACATCAGGTACGAGTACGACTACGCGGTTGGCCATTAAATTCAGCATTGGAGAATGTGGTCGACGGGCGAAAGATGTCTGTTTCCTTCCTCGACACAGATGAAAAAGATCACTTGCACGCACGATACTCTAATCAATCTAATTTTCTCCGCCAGATCGAGACACCCTCGTGTTCAGGAATTCCTTCATCGAGATTTACTCTTCCATTCGAGAAGAAGCTAGCTCGACCAAAAACTACTTTCAACGCTACACATGCGTGCACGTGCGACCTAGTAGCTAGCTACATAGTAATCCCCCATTCCAAATTGATCTACATATTTTATAGTACACAAAGACCAAGAAAAACTAATAACTCTCTCATACTATATTTACTCTAGTAACAAACTCGATGCATACATCATTCCTACTATTTCCTAGCCAATAGCAAATCAAGATATTGCATGTGGGTTATAAATACTTATATGCATCATGCATGCATCAATGTCCATTTACTCCAATGCACAAATAACGAATAGACTTAATGAATGAACACAAATATGTAGATCATTTATAAATAACCTCAAAAAAACTATATGTACAATGTACCAGCGACCAAAGTAGCCATACGGATTATGAACGGTTTGTCTGTTGGGTTAATATCATCCATGCCAATATGCCATTACAAATCAGCTGTACTAAGAAAATATCTTTGTTGTTCGTCAATTTGGTTCAATACCATTGGTATTTTGTTAAATTCGAAGGGTGTCGTTATGCATATCCAATGACCAAATTTTTACATACCGTATTTTTTATATATGGACCAAAATACCCCGTCCATTTATCTTGTCTTCCCCAACCTTATCTTCTTCTTCGCGCGCGCTATCGACAATTTCCTTCTCTCCCTCGCCCCGGTGACCCTCTCCCACCACCGGTGACCGGAGTGGCAAGCCATGGGCAGCTACAGCCACTTCTTTGTCACTAGCCGCACCACCTATGAGTTTTGGTGGTGGTTCCCATTCTAGCCAAGCTGGATCTGGAGGAGGCAAGCCAACAAGGGCCACTGAGGAGCGGGAAAGGAGGACATGTTGGAGGTGGAACAACAAAAGAGAATGAGGGACGCGAGGTGCTCGTAGGTGCCAACCTCCTACCCAACGATGATGACCTTTGCCCCAGCACCCCTCTCTCACCTATGTCCTCAGTGTCATGTTCCTCCACCGCCTCTACCTTGGTCACTAGAAGTTGTTCCTTAACATCGACCACCTTCGCCCCGCGCGCTGACATCTTCCCCAACCTTCTTGTGCTCGGCATCCGCCACACCGACATCAAGGCGGAGGTGGAGCTGCTAGCAAGCACAAGGGACCATAGGTGCTCATGGGCACCAACCTCCTCCTCAATGGCGATGACCTCCTCCCCTGCCCCCTTGTCGCCTCCTTCCATCGCCTCTATCTTGATCTCGGGAAGTCATTTCCCGACACCGACTACCTCCGCCCTCGCGCTGACATCTTCATCCAACCTCACCGAGCTCGACATCTTTCGCACCCACATCAAGGCCAAGGACCTTGACCTCCAATACAACCCTGCGTTGGAGAAGCTCTCTTTCATCGTTTAGCTACACCACGCTCTTTTGGATGTCCATCATGGAGGAGCTCACAGTGGTTGTCGTGCCTCGAGCAGCTCATCCCGAGGAAGGGCGTGGGGCCCACAAGTTAGCTGGTGGAGATAAGATATGTTGCAGGGGCATTTTGGGTGATTCAAAAATACAATTGCATGCTCGTGGGTCCAATAGCGGCCAAGGTGTACAAAATGTCATCTATTATCTCTACTATTATAAAAATTGAAGATGTTTTTACCGGTATTTTGGTACATCATCCGTATTTGAGTCGGGTTTTTAAGTTCGTTCGCTTTTGGAAATACAGATACTTGTTTGAGTCAGATTTTAAATTCGTTTGCTTTTGGAAATACAAAAGGAGTCGTATAAGAAATCTCTTTAAAATAACTCGCATGCTAACTTGAGATGAAAGTCGGATTCCTAATTGCAGCTCATGATTTTCTAAAAAAAATATCCAACTGAATTCCCACGGTGAATTTGATTATAGCTAAACCGTATAACAATAATAAGATTAAAATAGCATTCACCTATTGCAATGTACGGACATTTTTTCTAGCATAAAGAAAGAATTGTAATGGCATGGTTCTAAATAGGTGAATAGTAATGATATCTTTCTAATATGATGAATTTGCAATGGCATGGAACAAAATTAACCCTTGGTTGTATATAAGAAAAACGTACCGCGTCTTACAGTATAACCGTATTTATTTTTAAGAAAAAGGCAGTGTTTAGTTCCCTTCAAACTTCCAAAATTTTTGTCACATCAAATGTTTGGACACATGCATGGAGCATTAAATGTGAATGAAAAAAACCAATTGCATAGTTTGCATGTAAATTGCGAGACGAATCTTTTGATCCTAATTACGTCATGATTTGACAATGTGTTATGCTACAGTAAATATTTGCTAATGACATTAATTAGGCTTAATAAATTCGTCTCGTACACTAGAACGGATACCCTCATCTCAAACGGGCGGTAAGCCCCATCTCAATCGGGCACGGCGTCCGTCACAGGCTAAAAGTCACTGGTGTGAAAAGTAATCTCAATCGAGTAAATGGCCGTCACTGATGAACCTATCTCAATCGGGCCCTAATTGAAGCCCGTCACCGATAGCTTTGACCCAGTCTACCAGTCAAACTATAGCCTGTCACAGATGACCTATCTCAATCGGGCCACAAATAGAGCCCGTCACATATGACTAATAACCTCAATCGGGCCTAAACTAGAGCACGTCACAGATGATACTCATCTCAATCGGGCCTAAACTACATCCCGTCATAGATGACTACAGACCTCAATCAGGCCTAAACTAGAGCCCGTCACAAATAATACTCATCCCAATCGGGCATTAAGTACGGCCCGTCACAGATGACCATCATCTCAATCGGGCATTTAGTTATGGCCCGTCACAGATGAGTATAATCCAAAAAAAATTAATTTTGTTTTTTGGCTAGCCTTAGGCCTTTGCTAGCCATGCCCACTGTAAAAATGACAGAAACAAACACAGATATCCAATATCCCTAGCTCCCCAGCATCACCCAATCATACATATGCATTCACATACACAGACATCAATATATTTCACACAACCACACATTCACAACCATCTCATATTTCATATCCATTCACATATTTCACATCCATTCACATATTTCACATCCATGCAAATATTTATCATATTTCACTTGCAAAACTGAGTTAATTGGATCAAATATTTATTTAGCAAGTCTTAACATAAACATATGAAATATATACATAAATATAAGCATCACAGTTACATAATCAGTGTTCATCATTGCCTAAACATAAAAGTTCAACATTGTTCATCATTTTAGTTTAAGCCTAAACATTCCTTTGGGGTTAATTATTTCGCAGAGGATGAAGCTGGCTATCTCCTCGCGAACCTCCTCAAAGCTGGTAGGCAGAGACTTGGTAATTGTGCCCTACATTGTCATAATTCGAGATTAGTTGATCGATCATATATAAGTACTAAAATGTAGTTAGTCTATCACAATTGAGACCACCAACCTCAAACTCAGCCAAAGTCTTCACCTTTTCTCTGTACAGAAGGCGCATGTTGTGGCGCACATGGAATCCGCACTGGTCACCTATTTGTTGCTTCACCGGGAAGTCTTTTTTGTGGATGAGGGTGGCATGTCCTGTCTTCCTGAGGCCTTCTCTTTGCACGTATTAGGCCCACGCTTCATCTATCGCTAGTTGAATTGGGGTCCAATCATATGCATTCTTATCAATTCTGGAGTTCAGGTAGTGACATGTACTCCACTTAGGTGTTATGACCAGAAGGATCCAATGGACACTGCAGCATTAATGAGTAAAATGCACCAGCGGTCCTTAAACTTGTCAGGAGGTTTCACTTAGGTCTACGAACTTGCAAAACGCACATTAAGGTCCCTAAACTTGGTTTATTGTATCATCCCGGTCCAAAGCTGCGTTTGACCGTGGTCTTGCCTATGTGGCACGCCATGTGGACGATGACATGGATTTTTTTTATTTTTTCTCTCTTCTTCCTTCTTTTTTTTCTCTTTCTTCCTTGTTGAAAAGATGAAAATGCCTCATACACGTCATCGTCTTTTCATAAAAGAGAAAAGAGAAGGAAGAAGGGAGAAAAAATAAAAAAAAATCCATTTCATCGTCCACATGGTGTGCCACGTAGGCAAGACCACGGTCAAACGTGGCTTTGGACCGGGATGATACAATAAACCAAGTTTAG